CCAGTGAAAATACTGTACAGGACAGAGAGAGTAGAGAGAGCATTTATGTTACTCCCAATTTTCATAAACTAAAAGGCAGCTCCCATATGGGTGGCCCTAGGAGGAGGTAATTAGTAGGGAACGGCAATCAGGCGACATGGTGGGAATGCTTGTGAGAGCATTAGCACCCTTACTTAGACATATATACCTCTCCTTTTCAGAAAACAGGTGCCATTTATTATTTCACTGATAAGTTATTCAGTGATTAAATGATCACAGTTGGGTATTTTAGGTATTGCCAAAATTGTCCTTAAAACTTCCAATGAAGATGGGTGTGATGGTGCACACCTGTAACCCCAGTGGTTCAGGGGTCAGAGGCCCAAGGCTATGTAGTAAGACCCTGACTCAAAAGGAAGAATCTAAAAGGGGCCAGGGATGTGGCTCAGTGGCTAAGCACCTCTGGGTTCCATTCCTGATACCAAAAACCACACAGCTAACATGAACCTGCCAAGTCCAGACAACAACAGTAACAATAAACTGTCATTCCTGTCAAATTCATGAGCATGTCAATGACTATAACTAATTTACATAAAATCAAATTTATAAATTTATCCACTACAATTTTTGTAGAAATGGATTCATTTCCTGCAGCAATAATGGTAGACAGAGTTTCTCTGTATATTAAATGGCATTCTGGAATCTAGGACACGGATTTTAATTGGAAATCATTGAAAAGACAAGATCAAATCTCACCAATTTTGTATGCATACTCAGGGGAAGCAAAAGGTAAATCAGATGTTATTTTTTTGTTTGTTTTCCTGTTTTTTCTTTCTTTCTTTCTTTTTTTGGTTTAGGATCAGAAATTTGACCCAGAGGAACTTTATTGATGAGTCACATCCCCAGACATAAGGCCTGGCTAAGTTGCTAAGGCTGTCCTCAAGTTTGCAATCCTCCTGCCTCAGCCTCTGGAAAAGCAAGGATCACAGGTGTGCACCACTGTACCTGGCTGTAATTCTTCTAACAATGGAAATGTTACTAGACTTTTTAAAATCCACTTCTTTCTTGCCTATTTAATAATAGTCCTTCCCATTTGGCTCTGAAAAAATAAACCTGGGCCTCAAAAAAGTGAGCAGATCATTTCAAAGTGATACACAGAAAGCTTTGGTGCTGAGGGAGCACACATGTATCAGGCTCAAAGGGCAGGGAAGGGCCCTGACAGCTGGGACATGACCCCTCCTGGTCTTGCTTCCTGAAAGCCTCTAGGATCACCCTCCCAGGGACCTGGACCATGACTCCAGTCTATGAGGCTTTTCAGGTTTGCACAGCTCTGCACTGGGGTGGATGTTGCTTATGCTCTGGGAGAGGTTTCACTTCTTCACACTGTGAGACTAAAAGGGCAGGAATCACTGGTGACCTGGCCCCTCAGCACCAGCATCCACAGGCTGACTGTCCACCTGTCTCCAAAAAAATGGGAACAGAGCTTGGGAATAAAATATTCTCAAGGAAGTAGCTGTCTAGATGAGGCCAGTTCCAGGAGATTCCTCAGCCCAGAGCCCCCAGCAGCTTCCCTGAGAGGCTGCACCCCACACCTCAGGCTGTCCTCTAGGATGAGCTGACCCAGGGCCTGAAGTTCTGTTCACCCTGCAGGGACCAGGGCAGCTGTGGGCACCTTGGGACAGCTCTAGGAGAGGACAGTGGCTGAGGACATAGGACCCTGTGAGGCGTCCAAAGGGAACCTCTGCCCAAGAAATCTGACATGGTGTCTACACCTAAGGAAGATAAAAGGAGAAGCACAAGATTTTTACAGCTGTGAACTCAAGTTCTCTATACAGTTGCATCTACATCAAAGAACTTTCAGAGTACTTGACTTGGCTAACCAGATTACCATGAAGGTGGAAAGGCAAGGTTCTGTATGGAGAGCAAAAATTATCTTGGGCTATCTTAAGTCCTTTCATAGCCAATTATCTTAATTTCTGTATCAGACCACAATTCTCAAAACTATTAAATTTCTCAGACTATATCCCTACCCTTACGAGACATCTAGTCCCAACATCTACCAAAGAAAGAATATAATAAAAACAGTCAGAAGAAATTTCTTTTTACTTCCTTCCTTTCTTTCTTTCTGTAGTCCACAAATCTGATGATCCTACCAATGCAATTAGTGATACACAGTTTCTTTCATAAAAGTTCATGTAGGCCAGGCACTGTGCCACACAACTATAATCCCAGTAGCTTTAGAGGATAAGGTAGAAGGATTGCTAAATTCAAAGTCAGCCTCAGCAATTTAGTGAGGCCAGAAGGAAACTGATGAGATCATGTCTCAAAATACAATCTAAAAAGGACTGATTGTGGCTCAGTGATTAAGTGCCCCTGGGTTTAATCCTTGTCTTTCAGGGTGGGACACATACATCATTTAGGGTCACTTGAATCCATGTTCCTGAGTATGGTCATTAATATTTAAATCAAAATGAACTATTTTCCATAACTGGGATTGCCAATGCCTTTAATGTCAACAGCTTGAGACACTGAAGCAAGAGGGTCAGGACTTACAGGCCAGGCTGGGCAACATAGCCAGACCCCATCTGAAAATCAAATTTAAAGAGTTGGGGATTAAGAACAGAAGAATGAATCAAACACTATTATCCTATGTAGAAATATGACTACAGGACTGATGTGAATCCACATCAAGTACAACCAGAAAAAAGAGCAGTTACACTGTATTTATGTGTACTGTGTGAAAATGCATTATAATGCCATGTATAACTAATAAAAACAAATTTAAGTAAATAAATGATTTATGTCAAAGTAGGGAGGTGGGCTGAGTACATAGCCCAAGATTCAATATTCCTAGGTTCTATGTACAAATGCCTGTTTTCCTTTTAAAGTACTTATTTTGACCAAACACAGGGAACTGTTAAGTGATTATTCTTTCCCCTCAAGTATAATATTCACAAATAGAAAACAAATGCTTTCAAAAGTGATCTTCTTACCAGGGACAGTGGCACAGGCCTTGTTAGAATGGCCTTAGGCCTGAGCCCAAGCAACTCCATTTTAAAAGACCTGCAGTTCACCAGGCACATCCACAGATCCCTCCAGTAAGGCCTCAAACAAGTTCCTTCCCCTCACCCTGATAAAGAGAGTGAAGCCTCTGGCAGGCTGTCCTAGCCTGATGAGAGGGAAAGACGAAGATCAGGGTGGAGATGACCCCAGGGTAAAGGATGTCACTGAGAAATAGGGTGGTAGCTGATAAGGATTGAAAGGGTGATCAAATCCCCACAATTTAGTATAAATGATAGAGCTGATGAACAGAAATTCAGGCAGCAGAAACAAGGATGCACTTAAGCTGGAGAGCCTGCTGAGGACCTGACATCACATCACTTGGCATCTTTCCTGAGTCTCTGTATGATCCTCACTACTCTCAAACTCTACTGCCTCCTCTGCACCTTGGTGAGAACTGCAACTCCTTCCTAGACCCCCTCCTCAATGGGTCCTCTGCTCCACACCAGGAAAAGCCTGCCTTGGTTCGACACCTGGTCACTGAGGTCTGAGTGAGTGTGCATCTGCTGGACTCAAAGCCTAAGACATAAGACCTTTGAACTTAGCATGCAGAGGGAATGTCTGTCATTAGCTTATCATGATTAACTGTTTCCCAGTGCTTAGAATGAATCTAGAATTGTTTGCCGTGAATTAATTAACCTAGAATTGTTTGCTGTGAATTGATTATGTCTATGGCAATGCCTAGCATTAAGGATTGTTGTTTTCTTGATTAAAAACCTATACAGTTAAACTGTATTGAGTAATTTGAGTGAATAGAGCATTGAAAGGGGCAGAAGTGTGTGGACATCCTTTATTTCTCCCCTTGACTGCATAAGTCACAGTTTTGCCCCCTCCACACAGCCCTGTAATCCCAGGAACTTTGGAGGCTGAAGCAGAAGTGAAGCCAGATTTACAGATAGGTAGTTAGGCAAATTGGGTCTAATATTGTGTAAGATAAATAAAACAGAGGCCATTATAGAGAATGGAGTCCTGGAAACCAGAGCAGCAATTGAAATGTTAATGTCCCCAAGGAAAGAATCCATTCTAAGGAATTGTTAATCATAATCCAAAAGCCACCCCAGGCCTTTCCTGCCCAGATTACTCCTCCAGCCCACCAATCTCCCACCTTTTGGACCTTCCCACCTGCATTCTATCACTGCAACATAATGAGAAACAAAGTGTGGGAAAGTGGAAAGAAGACTTTAGCTATAAAAGAGGGAAGACCTCCCCCTTACAGGGATTCCACCTCTTGGGTCCCCTTCTTCCTGCGGGGAGAAGTCTTTTCTGCTGTCCTTTAATAAACCTTCTACTTTCCCCTCCTCACTTGCCTCAGCGTGCTTCTCTGGTGATATACTTCCGTCACTGGTAAACAGCGGTAACAGAAGGATCACAGGTTGGAGACCAGCTTCCACACCAAGTGGGTGCAAATCTCAGAATTCAGTAAAAGTGGAGGCTGGGGATGTGGCTGATAAAGCTCCCCGAGTTTGGATCCCCAATTAAAAGAAAAGAACTATTCTCCCCAATATTTCACTAGATGAAAAGTGACAATTAGCCGACGGTGTGCATTTGGACCGAGTGGGAAGAACGGACGTCTGGCCGAGCTGTGAGGTGGAGGGAAGGTGGTTTCAGAGGCAGGAGGCGCCTGCAATTTGGGGGACCTACAGCAGCCTCCGGAGGAGCTCCCCTGGGAGGAGGAAGGTGCATTTGCGGCCTCGCTTCCTCCACGTTGGGAAGAGTGGGTCGGGCCACCAGTAGGGAGTAAAGGGGACACCAGGGACCTGAGCCGCCCTTCCAAACCCAGGGAACCAGGGAACAGGTCCACCCTCCAGCGGGGACTCTGCCACGCTCAGCAGTTCACCTCAAAAACCCAAAACCCAGCTCACCCCACGAGACCAAGGGACAGTGCCATGAATCCCCAGCTCACCAGGGCACCGGGGCCCAAGGCAGGTGGTGACGTGTACCTACAGCCCTGGTCGCAAACTCACCATTTTTGTCTTCTGTGGTGACCCGGTGTCCTCTCAAGGAACCTCCAGGCACCCGAGATGGGGGTGGGGGGGGACACAGGCAGCGAAGAGTCACCTGAGTCCCTGGAGCAGAGAACTCTGGGGCTGAAGGAAGAGAAGCCAAGTCGCTGGGGAAGAAAAGCCCACAAGATTGCGGAAGCCCGCCCTTCCTGTCTCTCTGCGCACTGATTGGGCAGGTCCCGCATCCGGGATGGGTGCCCTCCAGGCCCGCCTCTGCATCGTGACTGACAGCTGACATCATCCAATCACTGGCTGAAATTGGGTAGAGTGACAGATCCTTGGCCCCAGCCCTTTTCAGGCGGAGCTTCCCGGCTGTGCTGGGGACTAATCCAGGTGGGAAGCCTTGGCTTAGCCTCTGGTACAGAGGTGACACCTGGCGCTGAGCTAGGCTTGAGCCATAGAGTGCTTTCTGAGCATGGCAAGGCCCTGGGTTTAACCTCAACACAAAAAACAAAGCACAGCTTCTCAGGGAGGCTGGGGCTGGAGGAGCCCAGGGTCAGGTCAGTGTCTGCAAACAGTGGGACCCTCTCTTTTTATTTTATTTTTTTAAAGTTATAGATAATACAATCTTTTTAAGTTTTTAAGTTGTAGATAATACAATCTTTATTTATTCCTTTTTATGTGGTGCTAAGGATCGAACCCAGTGCCTCATGTGTGTGAGGCAGGCATTCTACCACTGAGGTACAACCGCAGCCCGAGAGACCCTCTCTTAAAATAAAATGAAAAGGGTCGGATGTAGCTCAGTGGTCCAGGTCAAGCCCCACTGGGTTTATTTTATATATATATGAAAAAACTATATATATGTATATATAAATAATGGGACCTCAGGCAAATTCGAAAGACACTGTCTCCCAATTTTTGAAGCACTCATTAAAGCTATCATATATATCCCACATATATATGATATCTACTAATGAAAAAAATTTGAAAATTATTTTAGTAATTCTCATTACATCCTGGCCTATGATTTTTGAGGCAGTCTGAGCTATAAAAGGAAACATTTGGGGTTGGGGCTGTGTCTCTTGTTCCATCTCCTGCAGAGAAAGGGGTGGGGTGTGGGGACGCAGGCAACCCTCTAAAACAGCAATGTGCAGGGGAAATAAAAATGGGTGACTTGTGCTTAATGTAGATAGTCTACATTCTACTATTATCAATTCTTATGTACAGACCTGACTCGGCTGATCCCACAAGTCTGCTCAGCTGTTTGCCCTAAAATCAAAAAGAAAAGGTGTTGATCAAAAGCAGGAAAGAAACTTTGACCAGTGCAGCTACACCAGGGAGACAACGAAACCCTGTCCTACCCTGGGTTTAGGTGGTGACAAGGGCTTTGAGACTTTCTAGAAAGGGAAATCATTCTCATGAATGTATAGGGGAAATTGTATGTAGGAGTTAGTATTTATTGTAAAAGAATAATATTGTATTATTATTGCAATAGGTGATATGCAAATAATATCATAATATGTAGAATTGTATTAGGTTAGGTTTCAGGCATCTGTATTCTCATAACATGTCTGTGAGCTCAAGCTCATTTACCTCCTTGAAACATGTCATTTTATTGCACAGACTGACCTCATTATTTTCTCTCAGTATAAAGTCCCTCTCTTGTCTACTCTTTCCATGTCAGCATTCGGATGCACCAACATTTTCTAGAAAAGCCACAAGCCCATCTGCATGGTGCCTAAGAATCAATGCACCCCCAGAAGCTGACCCAGGGCTCTCAGCTTCCTGGGTTTCAACTGATAGTTAAACTAGAAAGAAATAATAACCCTGCTCAGCTCTGCCAGAAAGCTGGCTTATAAAACATAAAAATTTGCCACTTGGGGCAAATAAAGCCTGTCATATTAACCTCAATAATGGAAAAAAAAAGATTAGTGATGTAGCTCAGTGGATAAGCACCCCAGGTTGGATCCCTAGTACCAATAGTAATAACAGTAATTAAAGGAATTATTTTGTTGATACATCTGCAGAATTGAAAGCTTGACACCTAAGAACATGGAGCCTCTGTGAGGACATGGGCGACAAAGTCAATAGAGTCAAGGGTGTGGCTGGGTCTGAAGAAGGTGACCCAGCCCAGAGGATGCTGAAGAATTCAGGGGTGACAAGGGGGGCTGGTGACAGGGGACACCACTGGCCCAATGTGCTGGCTTTGTGTTCCACACAGCATGGGTGACGGGAAGGAAGCAGGGCTCCTAGCGATGGCCAGCTGCCATCTCTTTCCTTATCCCAAGATCCACTGGGCTGGAGATGGCTTTGGCCATCAGGCAGAGGTGGATTTGGCTTCGGGTGGTGGCCTGAGGTCATCAATGTGTAGTCAGGGACTCTGGTCTGAAGACCCCAGGCTGGGTGTTTGGTTACACCAGCCAAGGAAGTCTAATACAGTGACCACCAGCCCTCTGACCAGTGCAGTGATCTGAGTGTGTCTTGAGCTGCCACATTGGAACTGAGGGTCCCTTAGCTCTGAGTGGTGAGCATGTGGAGATGTGGCAAGCCAGCCATACACTGGGTGTGAACTATGAGCCTGCTGGACTCTGCCCACCACCTCGTGGAACCAGGGCACGGAGTCAGGAATGAGGACACGGGTCTCCCAAAGGTCTCTGCAGAGGTCAAGGATCAAAGGCGGGTCAAGCTGGACCACTGGTCCCCAAAGCACGGAAGACCCCTCCCCCTTGGCAGGCTCAGGTGCCCTCTGGCTGGAATAGCAGAGCCACGAAGTGCCTGTTCCACAGAGTTGCTCCTGTGGAGGGACAAGGAGCACAGAGAGATGACTGAGGACAACAGCAGGACTCAGCCAGTTGTCCTCAGGAAGTGAATAGCACCAAGGGCGGTGGCCCCTGCATGGGTTGGAATAAGCTGTTCTGTCCTCTCCAGAGCAGAGAGAAGGGGGCCTCTAATTAGATCCTGCACAGACACATTCACTACAATGAGACCTGAGAGTGTGACATCCAGAGAGCAGCTACTGCCTGAGGATCTACACCTCACACAGGAAAAGCCGCTCATCAGGATGGACTCCAGCCATGACTGACATCTGTCTGCTCAGCCTGCTCTACCCTGATGCCCTCCAGGCACAGGAACAGCCCACCAGCTCCCAGCCCTGCCCGGCTTCTGGTCGACCTGAGTCCCTTCAGCTCTCACCTTCCTCCTTCACAATTCTTTTTTTTGGAAAAACCATACCACTCACATGGACTGCACAAGTAAGCATGGTTTTCCATACTCATATCAAATAAAGGAGACTTCAAGCCAAAGCGAATGAAAAGGGATAAAGATGGACATTACATACTGCTCAAGGGAACCATACACCAAGAAGATGTAACAATCATAAATATATATGCCCCAAACAATGGTGCAGCTATGTTCAAAAAAACTCTTCTCAAGTTCCAGAGTCAAACTGACCACAACACAATAATCTTGGATGACTTTAACACACCTCTCTCACCACTGCACAGATCTTCCAAACTAAAGTTGAATAAAAAAACTATAAAACTCAATAACATAATCAATAATTTAGACTTAACTGACACATATAGAATATTTCAACATGCATCAAACAGAAACACTTTCTTCTCAGTAGCACATGGATCCTTCTCTAAAATAGACCATATACTATGGCCCAAAGCAACTCTTAGCAAATATAAAAAAGTTGAGACACTATCATATATTTCATCAGATCATAATTAAATGGAATTGAGAATCAAAAACAAAAGAAAAAGTAAAAATTTCTCCATCACCTGGAGACTAAACAATAGGTTACTGAATGAATCATGTATTGCAGAAGGAATCAAGGAGGGGATTAAAAATTTCTTAGGCATAAATAAGAACATAGAAACAACTGATGGAAATCTGAGACTATGAAAGCAGTACTAAGAGGAAAATTCATTGCATGGAGTTCATTCCTTCAAAGAAAATAAATAAATAAATAAATAAATGACCTCACACTACCTCTCAAAGCCCTAAATAAAGAGGAACAAACCAGCAGCAAAAGCAGAAGGCAAAAAATAATTAAAATTAGAGCTGAAATCAATAAAATTGAAACAAATGAAACAGTTGATAATATGGACAAAAAAGTTGGTTCTTTAAAAAAATAAATAAAATGACAGACCCTTACCCATGCTAACAAATAAGAGAGAGAGAGAACTCAAATTACCTGTATATGTGATAAAATGATAATATTACAACAGATATGACAGAAATACAGAGAATAATACAAGACATTGCAGTTATAAAGAAATTTCTTCAGTCATACCATCTGCCATGATTGAACCAGGAAGACATACACAATTGAAACAGACCAATATCAAGTGATAAAATAGAAAACACAGCTTACCAAGATTGTACACCATGATTAAGTGGGATTCATCCTAGAGATGCAAGGTTGGTTCCACTTTTGCAAATCAATAAATGTAATTTATCACATCAATAGACCCAAAGATAAGAATCATATGATCATCTCAATAGATGCAGAAAAAGCATTTGACAAAATATAGCACCCTTTATGTTCAAGACACTAGAACAACTAGGGATAACAGTAACATATCTCAACATCGTAAAGGCTTTCATGCTAAGCCTCAGGACAACATCATTCTGAACAGAGAAAAATTAATGGCATTTTCTCTAAAAACTGGAACAAGACAGGGCTGCCCTCTTTCACCACTTCTATTCAACATAGTTCTTGAAATGCTGGCCAGAGCAATTAGACAAATGAAAGGAATCAAAGGGATATGTATAGGAAAAGAAGAACTTAAATTGGCACTATTTGCTGATGATGTGATTCTATATCTAGAAGAACCAAAAAACTCCACTAGAAAACTTCTAGAACTAGTAAATGAATTAAGCAAAGAAGCAGGATATAAAATCAACACCCATAAATCAAACGTATTTCTGTATATCAGTGACAAAGCCTCTGAGAAGGAAATGAGAAAGGCTACCCAATTCACAATATCCTCAAAAAAAAAAATACTTAGGAATCAACCTCATGAAAGTAAAATATCTATACATGAAAACTACAGAACCATAAAGAGAGAAACCAAAGAAGACCTCAGAAGATGAAAACATCTAACTTGCTTTTGGATAGGCAGAATTAATATGATCAAAATGACCATACTACCAAAAGCATTATACAGATAAAATGCAATTCCCATCAAAATCCCCAAGGCATTCCTCATACAAATAGAAAAAGCAGGGGCTAGGGATGTAGCTCAAGCGGTAGTGCACTGGCCTGGCGTGCGTGCGGCCCAGGTTCGATCCTCAACACCACATATAAACAAAGATCTTGTGTCCGCCAAAAACTAAAAGATAAATCTTAAATTAAAAAAAAAAAAAAACCTCTCTCTCTCTTTAAAAAGAAAAAAAAATAGAAAAAGCAATCATGAAATTCATCTGGCAAAATAAGACATGCAGAATAGCTAAAACAATCCTTAGACTGAAGTAGGTGGCATCTCTATACCAGATCTTAAACTATACTACAGAGAAATAGTAACAAAAACAGCATGGTGTTGGCACCAAAACAGACTGGTAGACCAATGGAACAGAATAGAGGACACAGACACTAACCCAGAAAATTACAATTATCTTATATTAGACGAAGGTGCCAAAAACATGCACTGGAGAAAAGAGCATCTTCAACAAATTGTGCAAGGAAAACTGGAAAACCATAAGCAACAACATAAAATGAAATCCCTAGGTCTCACCATGCACAAATGCAAATCGAAATGGACCAAGGACCTAGGAATTAAACCAGAGACTCTGCATCTAATAGAAGAAAAATAGTCTGTAATATTCATCATGTGGGATTAGGCCCCAACTTCCTATAGCCCAAGAATTAAAACCAAGAATCAATAAATGGGATGGAATCAACCTAAAAAGTTTCTTCTCAGCAAAAGAAACAATTTGTGAGGTGACCAGAAAGCCTACACCCTGGGTACAAGTTTTTACCCCTCACACATCAGACAGAGCACTAATCTCTATTGTTTATAAAGAACTCAAAAAGCTAAGCACCAAAAAACAAATAACCCAATCAATAAATGGGCCAAGGACGTGAACAGACACTTCTCAGAAGAGAATATACAATCAATCAACATGTATAAGAAAAAATGCTTATCCTCTCTAGCAATTAGAGAAATGCAAATAAAAGCTTCTCTAACCTACCACCTCACTCCAGTCAGAATGACAGCTATTATGAAGACAAAAAAACAATAAGTGTTGGTGAGGATGCTGGGGAAAAGGTACCCTCTTACCTTGCTGGTGGGACTTCCAAATTGGTGCAGCCAATTTGGAAAGCAGTGTGGAGATTCCTTGGAAATCTGGGAATGAAACCACCATTTGACCCAGCTATCCCTCTCCAGAGACTTCCCCAAAGAACTTAAAAAACACCATACTACAGGGACACAGCTACCATTACTGTTTATAGCAACACAATTCACAAGAGCTAAACTGTGGAGTCAACCTAGATGCGCTTCAGTGGATGAATGGATTAAAAAAAGTGGCACATATACAAAATAAAACTTTAATCGGTAATAAAAAAGAAAATAAAATCATGGCATCGGCAGGTAAATAGATGGCATTGGAGAAGATAATGCTAAGTGAAGTTAGCCAATCCCAAAAAAACAAATGTCAAATGTTTTCTCTGATATAAAAAGGCAGACTCATAGGGGGTACATAGGGAAGAGCATGGAAGGATTAGATGAATTCTAGATAACGCGGAGGACTGGGAGGGAAAAGGAGGGGGCATACGATTAGCAAGGATGATGGAATGTGAAGGACATCATTATACAAAGTACATGTATAAAGACATAAATTGGGTGTCAAAATTCTTTATATACAGATATGAGTAACTGTGGTTTATATGTGTAATAAGAATTGTAATGCATTCTGCTGTAATTTCTTTATCCAAAATAAATAAATAAATAGAAAAATAGCAGACGGGTTTTCCCAGATGTAAATCGTTTTTAAAAAAATTTTTTTAAATATTTATTTATTTATTTATTTATTTTTAAGTTTTCGGTGGACACAACATCTTTGTATATGGTGCTGAGGATCGAATCCGGGCCGCACGCATTCCAGGCGAGCTCGCTACCGTTTGAGCCACATCCCCAGCCCAGATGTAAATACTTTTATGTCTTTGAATAAAACTGTCAAAACTAAGTACTGCCCAACATGGCTTATCCACAGGATTTTCTACAGTATTTTTTTTAATACAACTGAACAAAACTAAAACATCTTAACCCTTTGTATTTCTTATTTGCATAGGATTTATTCATTTTGGCATGAATCTTTCCAAAAGTATCTTTCTAGTACTCAGAAGAAACTACAAAAATTAAAAGATTTCCCACATTTTTTACATTCATAGGGCTTCTCTCCATGAGAATTTTCATAAAAGAGAAGAAAATTAGGTCTAGAACATTAAACTGATAGAGTATAGCAAATCGTCCCCATTCAGAGTGTTTGTTTTCCAGTGAGGGAAATGGGTTTGAAGACAACAGGGAAAATGGAATGATTTGCTATATTTTTTCACATTTAAACAGTTATTCAGCCAGATGTGGTGATGTATGCCTTTAATCCCAGAGACTTGGGAGACTTAGGCTAAAGGATCACAAGTTTGAGGCCAGCATCAGCATTTTTGAAAAACCCTAAGGAACTCAGCAAGTCTCTGTCTCAAAATTAAAAATATCAAAAAGAATGAGGATGTGTCTCAGTGGTAGAGGGCCACCAGACCAAATCTGCAGTGCAATCCCCAGTACAAAATTCAGCAGAGTGAGCAGTGTGTTTGAAGGAGACAAGAAATATTGATCCACCACATTTCACATTTAAAGAATTTTTCTCCAGTAAACTTCCAACATGTTGATGAGAAGAACAGTAATAACAGAAGTCTTTGCCAATTGTTTTCATCAGTACAATTTCTTTGCAATATGAGTTTGTTCATGTAAGTGAAGCTGATGGGATATAACAAAGGTTTTTCCCCATTGATGACATTCATAGGGCTTCTCTCCAGTATGAGTTCGTTCATGTGAGCAAAGATGAGTGGACTGAGTGAAGGCTTTCCCACACTGCTTACATTCATAGGGTTTCTCTTGAGTGTGAATCGCTTCATGTCTGTGAAAGAAAAAGCAAGAAAAAGACTTTTCCACATTGTTGGTATTCATTAGGCTTCTCTTCTGCATGAATACTTCCATGTATGTGAGGTTTACTGGATGTGTCAAGGGGTTTTCCACACTGATATTCATAAGGCTTCTCTCCAGTATGCTTTTTTTCATGTCTGTGAAGATGATGGGATTGAGTGAAGGCTTTGCCACACTGCTTACATTTATAGGGCTTCTCCCCAGTATGAGTTTTTTCATGTGAGTGAAGGTGAGTAGACCGAGTGAAGGCTTTGCCACACTGCTTACATTCATAGGGCTTCTCTCCAGTATGCGTCCGTTCATGTCTGTGAAGGTTAGAAGAATAAGTGAAGACTTTTCCACATTGTTTGCATTCCTTCGGATTCTGTCCAGTATGGATTTGTTCATGTCTCTGAAGGTAAGACAAAGTAGGGCAGGCTTTCCCACATTGTTGACATTCATAGGATTTCTCTCTAGTATGTGTTCTTTCATGTCTGTGAAATTTAGAGGAGTCAGTGAAAACTTTGCTACATTGTTGACATCCATAGGATTTGTCACTAGTATGTTTTCTTTCATGTCTGTGAAGTATAGAGGAGTCAGTGAAGGCTTTCCCACACTGCTTACATTCATAGGGCTTCTCCCCAGTATGAGTCCGCTCATGTATCTGAAGGTAGGAAGAAGTACTGAAGGCTTTCCCACATTGTTGACATTCATAGGG